GAGGGGCGCGACTGGGCTAGGGGGTCGCGACGGGGCCAGGAGGCGCGACGGGGCCCAGGAGGGGCGCGACGGGGCCCAGTAGGGGCGCGACTGGGCTAGTGGCGCGACGGGGCCCGGGAGGGGCGCGCGGGGCTAGGGGGGCGCGACGGGGCCAGGAGGCGCGGCAGGGCCTAGGAGGGGCGCGACGGGGCTAGGAGGCGCGACGGGGCCCAGGGGGAAGCGGCGCGGCCTAGCTAGGGTACGGGCGGAAGCGGTAGGTGGGGGATCCTAACCTACGCGTGATACCATGTTAGAATGAGAACTGAATAATCGAGTAGAGAGAGAGTACAGGTGAATATACCTAAGTGTTGTACCCTCTAAGAGGTGGCCCTATACAGTCTATGCAAACATAGGAGATACACATGTTTGACATACTACAACATCTGTCGATTTACTTCATGGTATGAGAGCTATCTGGAATTAAGACTACCGTCAACTATGACTGGTCCAACACCAGCACCATCTGCTGGATCAGTTACTGGGACTACTGGAGCACATTCCTCCACTACAGCCGCTGGTCTCTCAGCCTCTGGGCACTTTCCACCAGACTACGCTAACATCGGTATGCAGAATCCGCCTTCTGTGAATGCTCCAGGTGCTCCATCGACTGCACCTGCAATGCAACAGCAGCAATCACAGACAACAGCACAGCAACAAGCATCAGTACAGCCACCAGTTTCAACGCAATCAATTTTATCTGCGTTTAGTGGGATGAGCCTTGACGGCTCAAGCTACATGCGTGGAGCTACAGCTCCAAACACTGGTTCGTTTTCCTTCTCACCTTTCGTACAGCAGCCGCAGTCGCAGCAGTTTCAGCATCCTTTCTATATCTTCGGACGTTCTCCTGCTCAGCAACCACAGCAAGTACCCCAACAGCAACAACAACAGCAACAACAGCAACAACAGCAACAACAGCAACAGCCAGGCATTGTATTTCAGCCTCCAAATTTACTTAACAATACTCAGATCAAGACAACCGTACCTTTTAATGGTGTTGACTTCTACTCCTGGAGCTTTGCTTTTGAGCTTTTGGCGCAGTCCACTGGGCTATGGCCGTTCTTCACTGGCGAATTTACGTATCCTGTCGTGGGAACACCATTGGAGCAGCAGAGTTTCTTGCACGCCTCTCTCGGGGCGTACACAGTTCTTGTATGGAACTTGTCGCCGAAGGAGCAGCTTGGCGTTCGATCATTTCACTCAAGTTTCACACCAGCTGAAACTGCATGGAACCATCTGAAAGGGGTATACATGGCAAAGGATATGATAACAGTGAGTAAAATCCTTTCGCAGCTGACAAGTGTGCAGATGATGACAACCGAAAATGTCATGGACTACGTTAACCGAGTCCGTACACTACGCGATCAACTGGAAAAGAGCGGAGGATACTTCCCTCGTGAGATGTATCTCACTGTCCTTCTTGCTGGACTTGGACCCGAATGGCGACAGACGCGCGCCTTCCTCCGCATGAATCCCAACCTCTCCGAAGGTGAAATTTCTTCTTATCTTCAAGCCGAGCAGCAAGATCTTGATCTGCAGTCACAACGCAACCAGAAACGGGGGGTTCATTTAAGTTTTTACTCCAATCCAGAAACACAGCATCGACATCTACCAAAGTATCCGTTCTGCCATTTATGTAAGAAACCAGGACATACTTACAAAAACTGTCGCAGCCGTCATCAACGTCGCAGCACTTTGCAGCCGTATCACCGATCGCAGCAGTCACCGAAGACACAACCGCCACAGCAGCACTTATCGTCTCAGCAGCAGCAGATGCTGAAACCGCCACAGAGTTCATCAACGTCGCAGCAGCGCCCCCCGGTCTTCGCATCTGCCACATCAGGAAAAGGGGTTTTTGGATGTGTTACAACAATTGATGTTTCAGAAAAAGATTTCGAAACCCGACTTGAAGAAACAACAAGTGCTGACGGCATTCCTTTACCTCAAGTTTACGCTAACCTTGCTCGCATAATTTCAGGACCAAATACCTAGTATCTCGACAGCTGCTGCGGATGGCATATGTGTTCTGCCGAAACAAGCTTTATCACGAATCAGCGTCCGCTTTGTCGTCCGATACCTGTCACAGTCGCCAACGGACAAACGATAATGGCACGATCAGTTGGCAGTGTCATGCTCGAATCTATCGACACGGGATACTCACTTCATGTTACGAATGTTCTTATCGTCGCCGGTCTTGGCTTCAACCTTCTTTCTACAGCTCAACTCCTGGCACACAAAATCCGCACACAAGGAAATTGTGAGACGATGGATCAAGAGCTTTGGCACAGTACAAGTAATACCTATCTTGGTCGTGCCGCCACTCAACATGGCATGTCGGTACTTCAGTTCGCAGCACAGGGAACTTCTGGCAATTCTGAACGCGTCCTTGCACTTGGTCCCTGGGATCACCCAGAAGAAACAGACTATCAACACGTGGACATTGATTTTCGAGCAACAATTGTACCAACAGCTTCTCGAACTGCAGCAGCCGTACTTACCGCGTTGGATACTTGGGAATTTAATACCGCCGATGAAAGCGCCAACGCTTGGCGCACCTTTTATAATACCCGAGCAGCCTTTCAAGGAACTCCAGCACCACTTTGGGGAGAGATAAGTGGACTTGCAGCTGATGAACCAGATGTCGTTGGTGCAGCAGAACAGGAAGCAGTAGCTGAGCAGCTGAGTCCAACAGTCGCTGCTGCCGAAATCCCTGCCACAACATCAACAGAAGCAGCATCAACAGTTATACTCGCAACTACAATAGTGCCAACAAATGTCACTTTACCTCTTACCCGTTTCATCGAAGGAGAAACTGACAAGTCACCAGCACTTTCTCCTTTCATACTTTCTTCTATTTATACTAACTCCGATTTTTACCTGTGATCATCAGGACACAAAACCACAGAAGATATATGGCATCAACGGTTAGGACATCCTTCACAAGAGATTCTAAATCATTCAATTCGAGCAGCAGTTCTTGATAAAAACAGTTTACTTTTACCTGATGGCACGGAGATGAAGCCGCAGTCTCATCCGACGGTTTGCACCACCTGTCCAGTTGCCAACTTTATGCACGATCCATTTCCAAGTCACTTTCCTGGCTCAACCCGTTATCAACTGATGCAGAAAGTTTACAGCGACATACTCAACTTGTCTGAAGCAGGACCTAAAGACGAGAAGTATGTAATCACTTTCATCGAAGCGTCTACCCGCTATGTCTGGACAGCCAACTTACCTGCGCGCCATCTCGCTCACTCCGTCTTTGTCGCGTGGCTCGCTGTCGCTGAACGAGAGTCAGGAGTGAAACTGCAAGAATTTCAGAGCGATGGTGCAGTGAAATACACCAGCAACACCTTCACAGACTACCTTCAGACACTCGGCATCAAACGGAAGCAGTCGCTGCCACATGCACACCAACAGATGGGGGTAGCAGAAAGAATGAACAGAACTCTGCAGGAGAAGATGCGTGCTCTGCTTACGCAGGCAACCCTTCCACCGCATTTTTGGCCGTATGCGATGGACCACGCCGTGCTATTACACAATCTTCTTTCTTCAACGTCCCTGCCCGAGTTTTCTTCTCCACACCTGCAGTGGACACGTACAGTGGGGAGTACAAAACTTTTACGAGTTTTCGGGTGTGTTGTACAGTTTCGTCCTCCAACTGCAGCACTCAGAAAATTTTCCGAACGAGCAAAATGGGGGGTACTCAGCAAAGTTGTCACCGTTGAACTTGTCAAGGCCAAACACTCTAGGCTCATCCCTAGAGGGTCCAAGGCTAGGTTGCACCGGAGCAACGGGTGGATCTTGGTGTTGACCTTGTGCTTGGGCGTCTTCTCTGCCTCCAGCACCTCTGCCACCCCCTTCCTCAGGTCTAGGCATGGTCGAGACGGCTCCAAGGGGCTCTGATACCACTTGTTATAGTCACAATAGGCTCAGATGTGCCTATAATGAGAGATAGAGAGCACAGTCGGATTTCCGTCAGACGGCTTCAAATATTGATAACGATATGCTGGCTGAGTCAAACTGTGATCTGTAAGTTGGATCATAAAATTCCATGAAGATTTGACGACGCTATGGCGGTTTGACTGGCAGGAGGTACAGTAGCCACTATAGTCTTAGGAGTACAAACTTAGCAAGAAGAGTTCGAGAGGGAGATAGTTCCCAGCCTCTACATACCCCTAGAGCCGAGGTCCAGGTTGGTGGTACACCACCACAGAGTCCCCAACCATGAAGAGTCTCGAAACCAACTCTCCAAGGGGCTACACCAAGTGAAATGTAACACTACACGAAGTAACGTTACTATTTTCACTATTTAATATTTATCCGCGTCCCTTGGGCTTGAAAGCTTGAGCTCTTGGTCTTGGATCTGCAAGATAAATTCTTCTTGAGTTGATGGGGGCTTGCTGCACACACCTGCGACACGATGGACACTTCACACTCGACAAAATAGAAAAAACACATGCGACACGCAAACGACGACTTGACATGCGAGTTGTAAAAACTCGCTAATGTCTTGACCGACACAAACCACATTGTGATACACCATTCAAACAAACACACAAGCACTGGATAGCAATGACATAGACTCACAATTCATTCCATGCCATGCATGCACACACACAAACAAGGACGACAAGCCGAGTGCAAGCCATAGGGTTGCACCAACAAACTCCCCCTCGGATTGTTGGCCTTAGAATCTGCTCCCCTTAGTTCAGAGCCATCCCAGAAAGCTTGCAACACTTCCAATGCTGCTGCTCAACCAGCCTCTTGGTCATCATATCCGCAGGCTGTGCCGTCGTCTTCACGTAGTGCAACTCCACTTCACCCGCGGTTACCATGCTCCTCACCCAATGCCACTTCACCTTCATGTGCTTGGTAAGGCCATGAAGAATCGGGTTCTTAGCCAATGCAATAGCACCCTGGCTATCACAGTAGAGTGGGGTAGGTCCTTGCTGCTCCTCCCCCAATTCAGCTAGCAAACGCCGCTGCCACACAACCTCTCTTATGGCACGGAAGAGTGCCTTTTACTCGGACTCCACCGAGCTCAATGCTTGGTCCACTTGTTTCTTGCTCTCCCAAGCTGTTGGACCTCCACCAACATAGCAGATGAAGCCTCCCACACTTGTCATGTCCTCTGGTTCTGATGCCCAAGATGCATCAGAGAAGGCGGTGAGAAAGAGCCTCCCGGGTTCGACTCCATCCGCACCCTTTCGACGCCTTTGTGCCGCCGCGGAGTATTGCAGTCCAACAGTTGCTGTTTGGCCAAGGTACTTGGCCACCCTCTCTCCAGCTGCTAACTGCTCCTCATTAGGGCATTGGACAACCCTAGCCAGCTGCCCGATAGCAAAGGCTGCATCCGGCCTTGTGTGAACGGCCGCATACATGAGGCTGCCCACCAAGGAGTGAAAACGGCGCCTCTCCTCTTCACCAACACTTTCCTCCGCTGGTCCTTTCACACACTTGAACCCTGAGGGAAGAGGAGTAGCCACATGACCTTCACTCTTCCCAAAGTTTGCAGCCAAGGCCTCCAAGTACTTCTTTTGATGCACTCGCATCCACCGCTTCTCCACATCTCGCTCAATGTGAAGCCCAAGGTAGTAGTTGACGTCACCAAGGGTCTTGCACTTGAACTTGTCTTGAAGCTTCAGCATCACCTCCTTCACAAGGTCAGAGGAGGGTGAGAATATGAGGATGTCATCCACATAAACCACCATGAAGCTCCTCTGCTCCCCCTCGCCAAGCATGAACAAGGATTGATCGGCCGTTGAGGGAGTGAAGCCGATCGCCTCCAAGACTTCCCGCAGCTTGATGTACCATTGCCTAGGGGCTTGCTTGAGGCCATAGAGTGCTTTCTTCAGCTTCCACACTCTGCCACTCCCATCATTGTACCCCTCTGGCTGCTCCATGTAGGTCTCTTCCTCCAAAACGCCGTTGAGGAAGGCCGTTACAATGTCCATTTGCTTCACCACCCATCCTTTGATGGCCGCCGCGGCGAAGAGGGTTCAAAGGGTTGTACCCTTCACCACAGGGGCATACACTTCATTGTAGTCCTTCTTCTCTTGCTGCTGATACCCCTTGGCTACAAGTCTGCTCTTGTAGCGCTCGATGTTGCCGTCGGCGTCGGTCTTGCGCTTGAAGAGCCACTTGGAAGAGATCGCCTTCCGCCCCGGAGGTAGGTTCACCAAGTCAAATGTGTCGTTCTCTATGATGCTCCCCATTTCTTCATCTGAGGCCTTCTTCCACTCCTTCCCATTGGGGCCCTCCCAAGCCTCCTTGGGATTTGTGGGCTCCCCCGGTATCTCCACCGGAGAGAAGAAGGCAAAGGCGCACTCCTCGCTTTCATCTTCCGCATCATCGCCTAGCATGAGAGCCGAACCGGTCAAGGTTGAGTTGGCTGGTCCTCCAAGCCGTTCATAGCTCAACCTATTGGGGGGCTGAGTCCTCCTTCTTCCCCTTCCTTCCTCCTCTGCTGCAGGGACTTGAATGCTCTCATGGCTTTGCGGTAAGTCCGGTCGGTTCCCGCGAGCACTTGTAGCACGAGGCGGAAGTGGCGGTGCACGCTCATTACCTTGCTGCACCTCCTCCTCCTCCTCATCCCCATTCATTTGGGGAGATTGCCTCGTGATTGTGCTGCTGCTACTCAGCTCCAAGGGCAGCTCCACATGCTCCAAGCCAGTCCTCTTCACCTCTCCAAGCCGCACACCAATCTTCGCTTGGTTCTCCGCCTTCCACTCCTTGTACGGTAAGTTTTCCATGAACTTGCAATCTCTGCTCACCAGGAACTTCTTGGTAAATGGGTCCCAAAGAAGCCATCCCTTGCTGTTTTGAGCCATGCCCAGGTGCACGGCCCATGTTGCCTTGGCATCAAGCTTGTTGTGCCGAAGTTTCTTAGGCACAAGTGCCATGCACATGCACCCGAACACCCGAAGCATATCCACCTTCGGCTTCCTTCCAATCCACTCCACATAGGGCACCCATTGGTCTTCTCCCACATGAGTCAAGGCTCTGTTCTTGGCCACACAAGCATGTCGCACCGCATCCGGCCAAAAGTAATTGGGAAGACCGGCTTCAATGAGAAGTCCCCGTGCCGTCTCCGTGAGTGTCCGATTCGCACGCTCGGCGATGCCGTTCATTGCAGGAGAGTAGGGCATGGTAAGAGAGTGTCTTATGCCCTGCTTCTTCATCCAAGTTGAGAAATCCTTGCTCAGGAACTCTCCCCCACGGTCAGTGCGAATCGCCTTCACAAGTCGGTCTTGTTGCCGCTCCACCATCGGCAACCAATCGGTTTTCACCGTTTCAGCTACGTCACTCTTCTTGGGCAGCACATACACCCAGGTCATGCGAGTGTAGACGTCCACAATGGTGAGGATGTACTCTGCTCCAGCAGCTCCAAGCTTCAAGGGGCCCACCACATCCATCACCACTTCATCAAGTGGTGCCTTCGCCGTTGTCTCCGAGCTATGGAACGGGTAGCGGGTGAACTTGGCTTGCATGCATGTTGGACAGCCAAGCACCTCATTGGGCTCCCCCTTGACACGTATCCCACTGACCATCTCTTGCTTAACAATCTGCTGCAAAATGGGCAATGCCACATGCCCCATTCGCCGATGCAAGGTCAGCCAATCACACTCTCCCGTAGCGGAAGTCGGGTTGGAGAAAGCGGCACTCGCAATTGTGCCCCATAAGCTCTCTCCTTTCTCCTTCGCCGCTGCTGCTTTGTTGATCTTAGCCTTCTCCTCCTCATTTCCACCACCTTTGGCTGCTGCACCATTCTCCTTGGGTTCACACGCCTTGCTGGTCTCTCCAAGGTTGCACTCCTTCGAGTCACTCTTGGTGTCACTTTGTTTTCCGTGATCACCGCCACCAACCGCTTCACGCTTGGTGCTGACGCTTGCTGCCACTTGCCTCTCTTTAGGCATGGGGACCACTGGGATTTGCCACATCTCATTGTAGATGTCCCTGTCCTCATGAAGGTCCCAAAGCTTCCGCTCACCAAGCCTTGCGGTATAGGTTTTGGATCCCTTGGAAGATGTGTCCATGCCGGCCTTTTGCAAACGCCGAACGGAAATCAGGTTGGCTGCTAGGTTGGGCACCAAAAGCACGTTCTTGAGTCCCACCATCTTCCCATCAGCACCCTTGAACATGGCCTTGCCCATGCCTTTCACCTCTGCTCGCTGCCCCAAAGCCGATGTAACATGCTTGACCGGCGACGGTTCGAGTTCGGTGAGCAAGTCCGCACGAGGTGTCATGCTATAGGTGGCGCCGCTATCGATCACCCAAAAGTCCAGAGAGTGAAGGGTGACCTTTCCCACAGTAGCTGGCTCCTCAAAGCCTTCCACACCTCCTGCTGCAGCTGCCGCTTGCGTGGAGACAAAGAAGAATTGGCCCGGGTATCGATCTTCAGTCGAGTCCTTGTCGTAGTCTCCACCTTTCATGCTTGCCGCTTCGCTTCCACGACCACCACGGCCTCCACGACCTCTGCCTCTTCCTCCCCTTGCTCCTCTGCCCTCTTGGCCTTGAGAAGGGGTCCAGCCATCAGGTAGTTTGAAGCAATCTCTCCACATGTGGCCGGTCTTGCAGCAAAAGTGGCATTCGCCATCAAATCGACCGCGCCCACGCCCGTAGCCATTGTTGTTGCTGCCATATCCTCAATTACCACGGCCTCCATTGAAGTTACTGCTGCCAAATCTTCCTCCTCGCCCTCTGCCCCTTCCACGGCCGTGCCCACGGCCCATGCTTGCAACTCCAGCACCATCGGGACCCGCCAATTCGCGACGGCGGAAATCTTCTTGTAAGATTTCCCGCTTCACATCTTCGAGTGAGAGACGGGGCAGATCTCGATTTAGGTTGATGATGAGCGAGGACCATGAGTCCAGAAGTAAGGCCAGCAGCTTGGTCTTCTTTTGAAGGTCACTGTAGTTCAGGTCAGCTCCTTGGAGCCGTGTCAACAAGTCGAAGAATTTCTGCACTCCTTCCTCCACCGGTTCGCCTTCGTCAATTCGAAGTGCCGCCATTTGCCGCTCCAAAACCACAGCCACCGCCGCTGTTGCAGGAGCGTGTACACCCTTGAGAGCAGCCCATGCCTTTGGTCCCATTGCTGGTTCACGCTGAAAAGGCTTGATGTGACGGATTTGGCTGCTCCCCAACGCTTGCCCAAGTAGAAGGTAGCCTTGTGCGCTCTTCCGCACCCACGGGCTCTTCTCCGGGTCGTTCTCGGGGCGCTTCTCCGTTCCTTCCATCACCTCCAGCAGATCATAGTGGTCAAAGATGTTCTCCATCTTGAAGGACCACTCAGCAAAGTTGTCACCGTTGAACTTGTCAAGGCCAAACACTCTAGGCTCATCCCTAGAGGGTCCAAGGCTAGGTTGCACCGGAGCAACGGGTGGATCTTGGTGTTGACCTTGTGCTTGGGCGTCTTCTCTGCCTCCAGCACCTCTGCCACCCCCTTCCTCAGGTCTAGGCATGGTCGAGACGGCTCCAAGGGGCTCTGATACCACTTGTTATAGTCACAATAGGCTCAGATGTGCCTATAATGAGAGATAGAGAGCACAGTCGGATTTCTGTCAGACGGCTTCAAATATTGATAACGATATGCTGGCTGAGTCAAACTGTGATCTGCAAGTTGGATCTGGAGCGCGTTGCTGTCGTCTATCAGCAGCAAGTTGAATCATAAAATTCCATGAAGATTTGACGACGCTATGGCGGTTTGACTGGCAGGAGGTACAGTAGCCACTATAGTCTTAGGAGTACAAACTTAGCAAGAAGAGTTCGAGAGGGAGATGGTTCCCAGCCTCTACATACCCCTAGAGCCGAGGTCCAGGTTGGTGGTACACCACCACAAAGTCCCCAACCATGAAGAGTCTCGAAACCAACTCTCCAAGGGGCTACACCAAGTGAAATGTAACACTACACGAAGTAACGTTACTATTTTCACTATTTAATATTTATCCGCGTCCCTTGGGCTTGAAAGCTTGAGCTCTTGGTCTTGGATCTGCAAGATAAATTCTTCTTGAGTTGATGGGGGCTTGCTGCACACATCTGCGACACGATGGACACTTCACACTCGACAAAATAGAAAAAACACATGCGACACGCAAACGACGACTTGACATGAGAGTTGTAAAAACTCGCTAATGTCTTGACCGACACAAACCACATTGTGATACACCATTCAAACACACACACAAGCACTGGATAGCAATGACATAGACTCACAATTCATTCCATGCCATGCATGCACACACACAAACAAGGACGACAAGCCGAGTGCAAGCCATAGGGTTGCACCAACAGGTACATCTCGGCATCGAAAAACAGTATCACGCGTGGAAGATTTTGGATCTCCGCTCAAACCAAGTCATCCCGTCACGTGATTGTCTTTTCTATGAAAGACTCACCTTGCGCATTTTTCGTGCCCACCCGGCAGCAGCTGCCAACCCTGCCAGGCTGTTCAAAGGCTCGCGTGCGTTTGCCACTGACGAGGCTGAAGCTGATGTACAGGACGAAGCCGTTTCTAATGCATCTGAAGCTGCCGCAACTGACATTCCCGAACCTGTAGCCTCGACTGGCATACCTGAGTTCATTCCTCTTGCAGATACTGACTCGGAAGATGTTCGCGAAGTTCGTTTCAGTTATGAACGCGATCGCCAACAGCAGCCGATGCCCGTCGTCTTCGACGAAGCCGTTCGTGTTACACCTGACGAAATTGGGGGGGAAGAAGGAGCAGAAGAAAATTTCGCAGGTGCAAACGAAGAACGTCCGCGATTTACAGAAACAGGATTGCAGATACTGGGATTTGCAGTAGCAGTACAGCGCAACGACAGTAAGATACCTGAACCGAAAACCGTCCGACAAGCTCTTACGAGTCCTCACCGAGAAAAATGGCGCAAAGCCATGGACAAGGAGCTAGCAGCACTCAAGAGTCGCGGCACATGGGATTTAATACCGACTTCAGAGATTAAAGGGAAGAGGGTACTTACCGGAAAATGGGTCTTCCGCATCAAGACTAATGCAGATGGGTCGTTTGAAAAGTTCAAAGCACGATGGGTCGTCCGCGGATTCGAGCAGAATTACGGCATCAACTATGAACTAACATTTGCTCCTGTTGGTCGACATACAAGCGTTCGGATTCTGCTTTGTGTCGCCGCCTGCCGTAATCTCCGACTTCGACAAATCGACGTTTCGAATGCATTTCTCAACGCGCCTGTCGACGCACTTGTTCTGGTAGAGTACCCGCATTCTTATACTACTAACCCACCGAGCGTTTGCCGTCTACGAAAGTCCTTGTACGGCATTAAACAGGCACCACGACTCTGGCAGCAGTATCTTCACTCGCAGCTGATCACTGCCGGTTTTCGTCAACTACCGCATGATCAAGGAATGTATCGACTGACCGACGGCAGAAACTACAATTTACTCGTTGCCTACGTCGACGACATCCTATATGTCAGTACTACTGATTCTCTTGCCGAGACCTTCATACTGAAACTACAGAAAAATCTACAGCTTACCGTCTCCGATACAGTCTCACAGTTTCTTGGACTGAACATTACCTGTTCACCGACAACTATTCATCTCACCGCTTCGAAGTATGCAGCAACTCCCGCTGCCCGCTTCAACCTCACGCCTACTACAGTCTCTACACCGTACCGCTCACTACCGACTGACAACAAACCGAACACCGCACTGTTAACTTCAACCGATTTACAGATCTATCAACAGCACCTAGGTTGTCTACTCTTCGCAGCTGTCACTTGTCGTCCTGATCTAGCCTACGCGGCCAGTCAGCTCGCTCAGTTCCTACGCCGTCCTGAGGAGGAGCATCAGCTTGATCTACTTCGTGCGCTTCAGTATTTTATCTCGACACCTGACGTCGGATTAGTCTACAACGTCATCGGCTGTAAAACACTCTATCTACATGGTTTTGTCGACGCCGATAATGCTGCTGATTCTACTAATCGACGGTCACGTACTGGGTTCATCTATAGACAGGAACCTATCGGACCTATCTCTTGGAATTCTACGAAGCAGGAGCTAATTGCTCTCTCCTTTGCTGAAGCTGAGTTTATTGCTGTCTGCACAGCAACACGCGAAGGACTTTACTTATAGGAACTACTGGAAGAAGTGAAGCTGACGACAACTACTCAGTTTACCCTACAGTGTGACAATCAAAGTGCAATTCGCATCGCACATCAACCTGGTTTCGTCAACAGGACGAAGCATATTTCGCTTCGTTACTTTTTCGTCAAAGATGAAGTCGAGAAGGGGAGGATGCGATTGGTCTACTGTTCGACCAACGAAATGGCTGCCGATTTTCTCACGAAGAAGCTGACACGACAGAAGTTTCAGTACTGTAACAAGCTCTGCGTAATCTTCAAGAAGTGACACTATCGATGTTCCAGAAATGAAGGGGAGTGTTGTGATATAATTGGTACATAGCATTTCTGTAAGTCGATTAAGTATAGTTAGTGTCGAATCTTACTGTAGAACATAAGTTCGTAGGATGACGTCAGCAAATAGCGCTCGTCATAGGACAGTCGTTTCAGTCACGCGAACAGTCGCACCTCTTCATTATCATCTAGGGCGCATAGCGCGATAGTGACGAACAGGTACATTCGTGAATAGGTACTTTTCGTAGAACTATAAATCTCTGTCAGGCCTTTTCATTATTAACTTTGATTACACACAAGTTCACGTACTCAGGTTATTCAACCTTGACCTTTATATTTTGCAAGACTTCCGCTGTCTTACTAGTCTACCTTTCCAGCAAAGATCCTGGACCAACACTTGAGGATTTGCCAAGAAGCATGCCAGGTGGCATGCCAGCTGAATTCCTCACCAAGAAGCTGCTGCATCAACAGACTTGTATTGCGCCCAGCTCTATGGAATCTCCAAGTACGCCAAGCTCAAATACCTTCAGCAATAAAGGGAATTATTACGATAAGAAATTGCTTGCATTCCGGGAAGTGACTCTCGAGCAATAAACCTTGTCTAGGTGAAGTCAATGACAAGAACCACGAAGTGCAACGGTCGTTGACCATTGACCGACAGTCGAAATGACAAAAGTTCAAGGGTCTGTCACGACAGCAAGGACACGTAATTGACCCCGTAATACAGCGCGAGCAGTTACCCGAGTCGTCTATAGTAACCCGAGGCAGATTTAAAACCTCTCGTAGCCGTCGCGCCCATCCTAGCCGGCCCCCCTGAGCCGTTGCGCCCGTCCTAGCCGACCCCTCGCGCCGTCGCGCCCGTTCCTAGCCGGCCCCCTGAGCCGTCGCGCCCGTTCCTAGCCGGCCCCTTGAGCCGTCGCGCCCGCCCTAGCCGGCCCCCTGAGCAGTCGCGCTCGTCTAGCCGGCCCCTCGCGCCGTCGAACCCGTCCTAGCCGGCCCCCCGCGCCGTCGCGCCCGTCCTAGCCGGCCCCCGTAGCCGTCGCGCCCGTCCTAGCCGGCCCCCTGAGCCGTCGCGCCCGTCCTAGCCGGCCCCTCGCGCCGTCGCGCTCGTTCCTAGCCGGCCCCCTAAGCCGTCGCGCCCGCCCTAGCCGGCCCCCTGAGCCGTCGCGCCCGTCCTAGCCGGCCCCCGCGCCCGTTCTCGCCGGCCCCTCGCGCCTGTCCCGCCGGCCCCTCGCGCCCGTTCCTAGTATCAGAATGAATAATTGAACTAGAATGTGTGAGTACAAGGGTATATAGACTAGGGTGTTGTACCCTCTAAGGCACAACCCAGTATAGTCTATAGTAACGACCTAAGTTCATTTGACACACCCCCTAGACTATATAGGGGCAGTGGCTAACAGGGAAAGAAGCAGCTCAGGGCACAACTACTAGTCAAGCCTCGGAGGCAAGGGTCTAAAGACCAGTCAAAGGAGTACAGACAAGACAAGAGCAAGACCAGGGCGGCACTACTAGTCCAGACACTGGGAGAGGCCACAAGGCCAGTCAGGGTAAAATATATATATAAAGGACAGTACAAAGTCAAGGCCCTAGCAAGTGAGAGGCTACAGGAATGAGACCTAGCTGTACACAGTGCCGCTGATGATCTTTAGGCGCAAGCGCCTTCGTAAAGATATCAGCTGTGTTGGCACCGGAGGCCAAGTGTACTACGCGAGCCTGGCGGCGCTGCTGTACCTCGCGCAGGAGG